GAGTGGTGGATAGTATTCTGATTATCAACAATTAAAAAACACAGTTTAAGCAAATACCTATTATACAGTAATTCTTTATCAGGCTTTATATGTTGGAATCATTCAGCATAGGCATTTTATGCCATGGTGGTTTATGGAACTGAAGTGGGCCATAATTATAATAATAATAATAATAAAACCATGCAAGAACTGGACAATGGTTCACCCAGTGCAAGCTGCAGTCAGAGACCTAACCACTGAGCTATTCAGGCTCGGGATTGACCTCCTGTAGGACTGTATTGATCGGACACTAGTAACTAGTGTGATGTGTCCAACCTTGCTGACCAGTGCCAACCAGCACGAAACCTAGGTGAAGTAAGGCTTCCTGCCGATTGCCTCCAACCATCTAATACCAACAATTCACAGTGCACCATGATGGCGAACCACCTAGTGGCATGGTGGCCACATTGTAAGCTCGACTGATAGAATTCAGTCTGCACCGAAGATACGACTAGATACATTACAGTAGTTACTGACGATTATTTTTTTATTACAGCTTGATTTCACACCGTATTTAGTACAGGTATGGAATTTTCAGCATGTGATATCAGTAGGCCAAATTTTGCAGGCCGACCATAGATATCAGGTGTGAGTCGACAGGGGATCGAACCCCGGACCATGTGCATGGTCGGTGAGAGTCCCAACCACTGTGCCACCGATGCAAAAATAACTGCATTATAACAAGGTGGTCAACAATACGAATTCAATGAAAGTTGATTGTGACCTAACAGTGATTCATATTCAACCATGTTTTCTTCTGCTTGTAAATGCACAAACGTTTCATATGAGGTCAAATTTTGATCACAGTTCATACAATTTTGTTTATTATACATCTTGATACCTGTTTCATGACTCATATGATTGGACAACGTTTTTAAGAACAACAGATGTCCTTTTCTTCATATAAGCCTCTGTTATGTTAATTTCGATTAATTTCCTTGAAGAAGTTCAGACCAGATTGCCGAATGAAACTTTAGAATTAATCATTTCAATTTCGATGAGATTTGACAAATGTAATTTTCACAAATGTCAAATTTTAGGGTACATAACCATGACGTCTACAATTCTTCATATGAATTTATTTTGGATTAGTTCTACCTTTATTAAGTCATTATTAGACTACTTATTTCGCACTAATATAAGTAATGCATGTCTATTAATTTTGTGAATAAACATTCAAAACATCAAGTAGTTGAAATTCTTCCACTTCGAGTCTTCACAATCACTCTACTTTCTTCATATATATACACACACACATATAACATTGATACATTTTAACTAAATCTTTGGCATTGACTAGTGTCCAATCAAAAATACAACTTGAATAATTTATTTTCCTAGCCAATTATTATTATTATTATACTCAGCTATGATTACATATTCTAGTCTTAGTTCCACAATTTATTATAAAAAACCAAATACTATGTTATGTATTCATGTACTCCTAACACACACACATTCACACACATACATAATACATGCATACACAATCCACCAACGCATCTACATCAACAGACTAGCAACACCATCTAGGTATTTATTAATACAAGCATTCGCATGATTTTAGGCTTTAGTGTTTTATTTTTAAATAAATAGTTTTACTATTTTTGTCACTGTGACAAACATTTATTTAAAATAACTTCATTGCGCGCGCCTAATTGACATTTCACAATGTAATAGAATTGATGTGAATCAATGTAATTCTCACGAATCATCATGTATGGAAATCATAGAAACACAAGGGAAAAAATCACATTTATAGCCTGTGAATGATTATATTACCTGATTTAAAAAAAAAACTTTATACACTAAAGTGGTATGACAACTCTTGATTTAATCTTTACAATCGAGGTGCATGTATTAATAAACCATACAGAGAAGTTAAAGTATCATAGACAAAGTCTTCCAAAAGTTGACCTTAAAGAACCAATCAGATAGAGGCGATGCTAAGAAAAGTCATTCCAAATCAAATAATGTCTGACTTTTTGGATTTTGAGAAGGTAGACGCAGTATTCCACTTATTCCCTATGTACGGTTTTTTTTGTAAATCTATACTGTTAGGTTGGTGTTATGAATTTTTAGAATAAGGTTTAGCGTCTAGAGTTAAAGTTAGGAGCAGGTTAAAGAAGAGTGTTAGAAATATCGATACATCTCCTCCAAGTACCATGACCTACAGTGGTACCTGTGGTGAATGCATCTAACGAAGCATGGTATGATTTCTCTAAAGATCATCTGTGTATTGACTGAGAGACATTTTTACAACACATAAGCGACAACAATACAGTGTAATATCATGTTTACAATGTTTTTGAGTGCATTTTTTCAAGGATTATGCGGCATTTTTGCATCTGAATTCTGATTGGTCGTTCAAGGTCACTGTGGCTTTGGATAATTCAACTTTGCCGGCCGTACTGTTAGTTGCCTATGTCATATTTTTCATATAACAGTCTATGAACCATACTTCTTAAATGAAAGCTGGTGATATCAATCAAGTCAGAAATTAAATATCTGCTGATATTTACTGGTCGTCTCATATCTTGAGGATTTCTAAGAAAATATTCCGTCTTACCTTCTACATCAAGAAGTTAAGACATTCTGGTATAACCCAACCCTTACTCCTACAATTTGTTAACTCCCGCATTCTGCCTATTATTCTCTAATGTTCCCCCTTAGTTTTTCCTGGGCTGGGCTACTGAAGAAAGACTATAACCTTATTACACAGAATGTTAAAGGTTGTCAGCAGGGTAAGTCACAGGGTGCCACTTAACCAGCATGTTAACATTCTGGTTTACAGGCACTTGGACTCATGTGAAAAATGGGCTAAATCCATTTTATCTAACTCACACCACCCTCTTCATTCACAACGCTCTCCCTGTATCTCATCAGGAAAAACCAGAAGCCTATATAGAAATCTATATCCTCGCACTAGTAAGTACAAAAACTCAACCATACCCTACTTGGCTCGTGTTCTGTGCGATAAAGAAAGCATTAGGCGTGATACCTATAACTTATTAAATAGTCAGTAGAACAACTGGATCTCGTCTTTCCAACTCATATCATTTACAGGTACGTTTTCTTTCTTTCTTTTCCTTTTCTCTCTCTCTTTTTTTCTCTGTTATGTGCTCCTTTGTTTCTTTTTTCTGCCTACGTCAGTAAACATGTTATCATCTACTTTTCTAACACCTTCAAACACTCTGTTCAATTTTTGGCTTTGCTGCCAACAAACCAATATGTTCTTGTCATAATGAACTGAGATTTCCTTAATCTATGGAGAATTTTATTTATTGATAATGTACAAACTGGATGCAATACTGTAGTGAAATAATGAGAATTCCGATCTGTATCACAAGTACTGTTTTTGTATAAAGCAAATTATTATTATTATGCAAATGGCCAGTTTGAAAGTAAGTGGTAGAGGAATCGAACCTGAGACAGATAAACTGAAAGCTGAATAGTTTGAGACAAAAGCAAATGAGCCGCAGACTTAGTATCATGTTTAATTTCACTCAATAAAAATGGATTCTGCTAATAGATTGCTTACATTACTTTGAGATATTAGGAAATCATATGAATGTTCACTTTTCAAGATTGTTTAAAAGTATAATGGGAGAATTTAATTGAGTGTTCAGAACAAGTTGAAGTCTAACAACGGTTTAACACGGAATTGATAATGTAAGTAGAAATGTGCTTACTGAATACTTTCCCATGAAGACTTTATATCCTGTTTCAGATTCCTTTATTAAAATAACTTCGTTGACTTGTTACAGCATGGGATGGTACATCATCACATCAGAACTGTATATTACTCAATTTAGTTATTCGACCATTTATTAGTGGATACCATTTAATAATGAGAATGATACCAGTGCCAATTCATGGAAGGCATAGTAAAAATCCATTTACATCATAGTGATGATACATTATAATAGAGAGGAAAACGAAGAAGACACTGGACAGTTCAGTGGTGTGGCATCAGTAAATTCCACACCCGGTGACACGGGTTCAAGTCTTCGAGGAGGCATCAGTTAATTTCCTGTGTGACTGCGAACACGCCTCGCTGGCAAACACCAATAAGCACAACGCCTAGATATCCAGGGGGCTTAATATTGATTGCTTCCAACCAACCAAACATTGATTCGCAGTGCACAACAATGACGAGTCACCTAGATTATCGACTTGACTGATATCGTTCACCGTCGAAAACAAGCAACACTATGGTCTATAATGCAGTCTACAAGCACTTAGTTAAATTTATACATTTATAATTATCTGTCTGTCTGTTTTTGACATAGAACTTTGCACCGATGTGTGGCACTTCAAGTCGCCACACTCCCTCCTTCTAGCACACAAAGCAAGAGAAGAAAGTACAAGAAATGCATATAAGAGGCAGTAAACAGAGGTGTGAGACAAAGGAGTAGTAATAACGAAGAACAATATAGTTTCATTGGAAATGATAAGTCACAAGGAGTGGATGCATCTGCGCTAGCCATTGAGAACGATTTTGAGCCATATCACCAATTGTCTCCAGCCTTCATTGGTTTTTACCGTCCCGAGGACCCAACCAGGAAGTCTATACCTTCCTACGTGGCTTAGACTAACTGTTGTCGATTTCATTGACTGATGAAGCGATATTTTGGTTTGACCGTCGAGGAAGGGGATGACTAGGCATACGTAGCACATGTTCCAACCATCTCAGTCGATGTAATTTCACAGTCTCGTTGATTGATTTCCCCTCCTTACCTAGCACTCGACCAAAGCGTAACCTCAATATTGCTCACCTTACTATACAATTTCGCAGCCAGTATAGCTCGTTGGGTCATTGAGGTGTTCAAGCCCAACCACCACGTCAAGGTAGCAGCTTTCGGTTGGGATTTCTAATTATAATTATAATAATGTTAACAGAATTATCAATGTGAACACTGAAAACAAGACAATTGTCAGTTTAAGCAAAAATCACATACCCCAATATTTCTGAGTAATTTTGGATAAATTATTAGAAGCCAGTGACATTCTATTGTTGCAAATATCTCTGTCACAATTATGTCTCTCAAGAATAAACTCCACAGCCTTCTTTAATAAATTCATATTTCTAAATGAACAGTATTTCAAAACTTCCATTGCGAAATCCTTATTAGTATTATTACTCATATTTTTATTATCTGATATAGGCTGTTTAATCGGACAGTCTAACAGTACAAGAAAAGAAAGCAGTACATATATATATATATATATATATATATATATATATATATATATATATATATACATATGAAAGGATAGAAATATAATTATATAATAAATATATGGAATCATCAAAATAATCTTTGGCACCCACCACTTAAATGTTGAACAAAAACCGACTTCGGTTAGAGCACCACTGAAAACCCCGAAGTACTGGACGACTGTTTCTACCTAGTTAGAGACATTTCGTCAGTTCGCACCATCAATACCATTGGGGATCGAACCCGGGACGTTCAAGTCACAAAATGAGTTTGTATGCCATTAAGGCACTGGGAAGCGACTCAACAGCCCATCAATATTAACTTCGATGAATTCATATATATATATATATATATATATATATATATATATATATATAGAGAGAGAGAGAGAGAGAGAGAGTACAACCATCAACCAATATCACCGAGTATTTGTCCTCATACTAGGTTGCCTTGTAACATGCAGGTACTGGGTTCCATCCCCAGTGTGTTTGTGAGTGCGTATTAACGAAGAATACAAAATTAGGACGAAACAGCCATCCAGTACTCTCAGTTTTTCCAACGGTTCTCTAACCGATTTCAGTTCATGATGAAATCATGAAACCAATAAGATCTCTGTAAACTAACAATTGAATAGTTAGTATTTTATTTAATTGGTAGTTAACCAATCATTATTTTACAATGTATTTTTCACTACACCTTAATTTCATCACTTCATTAAAAAAGACGAATTTATTCAGTTGACAAAAAATAGTTTTAATGTATTATAATCTATTTAGCTAACTGTATTCGATTATTTGCCCCCATAAACGATATGGTACGGTCAAGAGTGAGTGGTCTTCCTCCCGAAATGATCTCTCTCATGTGGCCACGTGTTCAAAGCCTCTGTGCCAAATAGATGTTATTCACTAACTTCACACGGCGGGATTGTTGTTCACAAGAATAAAAGGGCAAATGTGAATGTCTGGTGCTCACAACCGGACTGATGAACATAGAGGTCTACCTAGAGAAGCTCAAAAACCCCTATTCGAAACAGGTGATGTATATGGGTTCTACAATCCAACAACATCGAATGGCATGTGAACCTGTTTTTGGTCACTAGAAACTATGGGAATGTAGCTCCTGACGCTACATAACTGCCTTGTGGATCAAGTCAAAGACTCAGGACACAGTTCACTAAGACAAACATCTGCTTCAGTCAGGGTGTCCAGGCCTGTATCTCCTCAGCCCTCGGATAAACTAAGAGGTTTTGTATGCCACATCTCTTAGTGTCCACAATGTACAAAGTTTGTGTTTTAACGAATAAATAAAAAAAGATTATTTACAATATATAAAGAGAGCCCTATAGTTTCTACGTCTGGGTATTTTATAAGAGGAGCTGTTATATCCGTATGACTTCGTTATCTAATTACACAGCCACAGTTACTCGACTCAGTTTACTCCGAACAGTTGATTATCAGCTAATATCGCCCTTAATATAAATAATAAATTGCATAAATGCGCAAATCAACATACAGCTACTACTTATTGCGTAGTCAGCATACATTAGGCAAATGTTTAAAATAAGTTCTTTCTACCATTTTTCTTCCCTCTTTGTGTTTCTGAATGAAACATAACAGGGGTTCCGAGCTTTTCAAGTTCCGATAGCGGTATTGTTATTTTTACAGAGAAGGCTTTCTAGTCCCTTTGCCAACCTTTTCTCTTTTCCAAGCTTAGTATCAGGGGGTAAACTGGGTAAGATTTAGGCGTGAGTCGGCTGTGAATCCTACCCAAACCTCCTGCGTGGTTCACGAATACTGTACTGCCATTGAACTGTCGATGCAACTTTATTAATTTAGACTAAATCTTTAAACAACCAAACATAAAGTAGACAAACAAAAAAGGAGAAAAAACAGGAAAAAGCCAGTGAAAAAATAAAGATAGACGTACTTTTCAGACAGGTAAAAAGAAATTGATCCAATTTAACAACAAACAGATCACAAGAACAGTAAATAACTGGGATGAATGAAAGTAATTCGTCTCTGGAAAAAATAGAGAAGAAAAATGACCACAAAAGAAACAATTGTAAAATTTGAGAAAATATGTTCCCACCGACAGTGAGAAATTACAAATATTAAACCGATAAAAGCCAGGGGGTACCAGTCTCAGACTCCTTAGCAGTACGCACAAATAACACCAACAATGGACGAATTCAGGACGTTCAGAGTACGAGACGAACTCGTAGACGATTTTGGTCACTTTTAAGCAATCGTACGACTTACAAATTCTAAATTATGTTAGTTCGTTATCTAACATGAAACCAAGCTAATCTCATTAGTCACTGACTAGAGGATGAACTTTCTGGACTTGTCATTGGAGTTTGTGATTAGCGAGGTGACAGCGATGCAATATCCCCCCAACTGATAGGAGTTGGAATTTATGGACCGCTGGATTTCGTTTTAGTGCCTAAACGATCAAAGAGATTGCCTTGTAACTTAACGGTACTCGATTTGATCGCCAGTGGGATAATGGATGGGTACGTGCAGATGAAGAGTTCTGAACTCAAAACAACGAAACAACTGTCCACTACTCTCTCTTTCTCTCTGCCTCTGGATTTTAGTCGCTCTCTCTCTCTAACTGATGTCATTTTGTGATCTAATTTGAAATCAGTCAAATCCCTGACTAACTAACACTTGAAAATTGATGCAATTTCCTCGGCATTTCAGGTCAGGTAGCATGATGTTCATCAATTCTTAATGAACAGTCACTACATAGATATGAATGTATGTGTATAAATTAACACAAGTGAGTATTCACCAGCAGCTAGCATATAGATAGAATGATCATATGGTTTTAATCCTTGACTGGTGAATTTCAACGAAAAATATATGAACCAGGTGAAAAATTATGGTTAGTTAAGTAGTCTAGCGTCTATAGTACAAGTAGAGTATACCAACATTACACACTGTCAAAACTAAGGCAGTGACAGTAGCATTTAATCAATCTACTAACCCAGGTTCGTATCCTGGCAGCGACACCAGTGCGTTGGTGGTATAACGGTTAGGACGCTTGCCGACCATGCACATGGTCCAGGGTTCGATCTCCGGGCACAGACGCACTCCTTTACCCCACTAAGCTAGAAATAATCCTCGTGAAGAGGAAAGGTTAGGCATGAGGCTAGCAACCCCATCCTCTAAAAAAAATTAAACACTGCTACAGAAACTTCAAGCCGCTAGCTTGAAGGCCTATGTTCCACTGGGGAACGTGAAGGAAAAAAACTAAAGAATATAAATGTAAAACAGCTAACTGTTATATAAACCGTATTATATTTATTAATTCATAAACTTGAATCACTACTAAATAACAGATCAGGAAATGAATTATAATGAAGGCGAAAGATTCAGGAAAAGCACCATCTCAGGTGAACAAGGAGAAGACAGATGTAATGGACATACCTAACCAACAACACACACCAATTGCCAGCAACTAAAGAAATCTAGACGAAATCACCTTTTTCACTTACCAGACCTACGCAGCATCATTTCACAATTTCAGGTGGCATGGATTAGGGTGTCGTACCCAGAGAGGATCAGAAAAGCAACACAGACCTTCATTCATCTGAAATCAGTGTGGCAATCTACTTCACTCAGCATAAGGAACAAGATTTCAACTTTCAACACTAATGTCAAGTCAGTAAGTGATCCTACATTGTTCGAGGACTCACTGGATGTGTCACGAAAAGCATTTACAACAGACTACTGCAGACTTTCGTCGGCACCTGCATTTGCTAGCTTGACAGTGTAGATTAGACGGTCTGAAAGGGTTAACAACAAAGAACTCTAGCAGGTAGGGAACCGACCACGAACCTATCAACCAACAAATATGCAGAAGGAAATGATGAGGAAACGGTTGAATGATATCATGCGTCAGGCACAGCCTCGAGTAGAACCCTGGTGGAGAACGAGTAGGACGTCCGAGGGTGATGTGGAGGAGATCGTGTGAATGGGAAATGAAGCCAACTAAAGAAAACCATAGAGAACAATGTGAAATGGCGATGTGCCCTTAGAGCCCTAAGTACCACTAGAAGCATAATGGAATAACAATATATTAGCCGTTGCTCTAGGAACTTGATTTTTAGTGCTCGAGAACATCTCCCATTATGGCTAAGTAAAGGTGTAGTGAAAACCATTAACAGTTCGATATTGGACCATCTGTTGCAAACCGGCCACAAAGCCAGCCAACACGGAAGAATTCTTCTCTATAAACTACCAGGTACCTAATAAATTGCCAAAATCACCGAATAACGGCATGCTCCAAACAGCAGAGGCCATTGCAATTCGCCTAAAACAACTAGTGCTCTGTGTTCAAAAGAAGCAAGTCCAGTCAGCCCCTACTACTGCCCTGGCCGGCCTTCAGTAAAGACTATAAATTCATGAATTTGTAATATTATCTTTCCTAATTCTTCTGACATTCAGCTTATTTTATGTTGATGCTATTGAGCTGTAATCTATCATAATATTACTGATTCGATGTTATTTAAACAACATTAATGTTGTTCATAACACTAATTCATTCATTGACTATAATGTATACATAACTGTAGAGCCTGATGATGAATTTATCGAAAAGAGTACTCTTTGTTCAATATCCATTCTTTTGAATAATAATAATAATAATAATAATAATAATAATAATAATAATAAGTGACCGATTTCCAAAAATAGCAGTTAATTTTCTAACATACTTTACAGGTTCTATGGCTTCATTATCCAACAGGCCAGCATCACCAGCATTATTATGATTGTTATTATTGCGCTCCACCGAGGAATACTTGTTCAACCATAGGACTGCTGAACGGACTATGTTGAAGATTGAATCTATTCCTAGGGAGAATGATTGTGTCTGTGATGTTGTATTGGAATCACATGAATTTACTGTGATATTTTTATCAGGAAGAGGAGGCACACCAGCAGAATATTTCATTATTGAATAGCATAAACGACAGGTTACTACTGAGAAATGTATAATTTTTCCGTTAAGAATTTCTGACAGATTAGCTGACTTTGTTACATATTCGTGTAATTTAGTTATCATTGTAAATCCATTATCTTTTATTCTATTCAGTGTTTTCATAATTTGTACATCATTATGAAGGGCTGAAATGTATAAAGAATAAAATGAAACACCTAAAAATATAATAGTGAACGATATAAACAATTCTTAAGCTTGATTACAAACTGACTTCAATTAGAGAGGAGCATTGAGAAACCACGGGGAACTGGACAGTTACTTTGTTTGTTGTATTTGGGAATCACCCATGAGCTCACCACTTAGGAGCAAATCCAAGACCTTCATGTTACAAGATGAGCTTGTTGATCATTCCAACCATCACTGGATCAGAATTGAATAGCTCAATTCAATTCTAACCTTCACCCTCCAGTACTTCTTGGTTTTCGTTGGTTCTCTAAGTGGAATTATTCAAATCTATGTAGATCAACGCTTGAAAATATAATTTTTTAAATGAAAAGGAAATATCAAGATTCAATGGGATGAACACTGGCCATTTTTTGGAGTCTGGCAAAGTTGGTGATACAGAAAAGAGTTAAGAGTTTACGTAAAGACTTGACTTCTACTTTAATAAGTGAAGTTCCAATGAGTAAACATGGTAAAGAACACGAGTTATTCAAATCGACTTCATAAACTCCAGAGCTTGGAAAACAAAGTGATAATATACTCGAATCGAGTACCTAACCTGATGAACCACAGCTCCACCTGATATACCAATAAATCAGCATACAAAGTTCCGTTTTGCTAAAAAAAATAAAACTGCAAACAATTAAAGCATTTAGTTGAATTTTAGATTTTCACGTCGATTGATTGGACCGAAGTGCTCGGTCTCAGGTTGACATGTCGGCTTCTTGCGTAGATACTTCGACAATGTCTGGGCATGGATGGTGACTAGCACTGGAATCCAGGATGAGCATTTCGTCCTCTTTGTCAATCTGAGACCAAGCACTACTTCTGTACAACCCATCGATGGGAAAATCTAAAATTCAATTCAATAATTAATATGACCCGTTGCACAAGAGGTGGCTCTCGTGGCCCAAATGGTCTAGTGGATAACGCTTTGGCGTTTGAAACGATGGGCACTGGGGTCAAGCCTCGGTGGGAACATCATCGCTCACTGCGGCATGCAGGTACATGTAGGTGACGAGTCCCAAATAGGACGAAATAAGCATCCTGGATTCCACTGCTAGTCACCATCCACCAATTAAAATACCCCTATTCAGTATTAAGAATTCCGACGGTAAGATGCAAATGGAAAAAAGCTATGGACCTAGATTTCGCGTCTATTCACATTCATCGCCAAGGAGTATCTGAAGCCATGAATTGGGTGATATCCTTAATGTAAGGGTAGAATTTGAACATTGTAATAGAATGTCATTCCATGCAGAGATTCGAACCCACATCATCCAGTGCTTGGTTTATTCGGAGATGTTACCACAGACCTATTCAGACCCACCTTAATAACCAGATTGGAAACTTGACTGACAGAATTCAATCAACCGTTCTAATCACACCACAGGGACCAATCACAGACAAAGCAGAAAACTGCTCAACATTAGATTAAAGTCACTAAGATACTTAGTATTACACACCGTACATAGGTCAAGATGTTTGATTCACATTGACCTCATAATAAAAGTTATTCTTCATAACTGTAAGATAAATTCTATTCCCATCCTTGAATCAAGTCAACCTGTCCCGGATCAGCCTAGCGTTGTTGTAATCCATGCCTAACGTGTCTATCCCTGCTTGTTTAATGAACTGTGTGTATGTGTTTTTACCTCGATCCGTTTAGTCAGACAGTTGAACTCATGACCCAATCAGAGTATTTTGTGAACTACTGAATTGAATTTTTGATTTGCCCGTCGATTGATTGGACCGAAGTGCTCAACCTGAGACCGAGCACTTCGGTCCAATCAATCGACGGGCAAATCAAAAATTCAATTCAATAATTAATATGACCCGTTGCACAAGAGGTGGCTCTCGTGGCCCAAGTGGTCTAGTGGATAATGCTTTGGCGTTTGAAACTATGGGCACTGGGTTCGAGCCTCGGTGGGAACACCATCACTCACTGAGAAATGCAGGTACATCCAGTTGACGAGTCCCAAATAGGACGAAATAAGCATCCTGAATTCCACTGTTAGCCACTATCCACCAATTGTATTTTGTGAACTGTTAGTTTTGCTGACTCATGTCTAACTTTGTACTATTCTGTCGAGTTTATCTTATTTATTGATTTTCATCTGTATTTGCCTACCTGGTTAAGTAGCCAATTAAATTCTATCTTTGTGCCTATGCTCTGTCTATCTCTCTTCATCGCTCTCTGTTTTATGCCATGCCTTACTTGGGTTCATTCTTCTACTGACTGCTTACCTGAACGGTCGTGTCTGATTCCGGCTAGTTCGCAATTTTGGCTTTAACGTTATTCCGCTCTGATAGCGGTACCTTGCTTTCTGTTAAGCGTTGTGCTTTGTACTCTTGAAACCGTTAAGGTTTGTTGTTTATATAATTATTGATTTGTTTATTAATAGTACCGTAGAAACAGTGACCGGCTTCTTGTTTGTTCTGGACCGGGATAGCCTTTATCTACGCGTGACTTAATTTCAAGCGATATATTGCGCTTACAATAACCTTTGCACAACTTGTCACTTGGGTTGAAAAAAAAATATTTTAACAAAAATAATTAACGTATCCAAAAATGAATTCACATAATTCCATCAGTAATTACCTTTAATTAAATTTTCTTCAGTAATACTGAGAAAGATCCTATTCAACAAGGATATACATGACTGCCAGTTCGGTAGCTGTGGTATATGAAACAGAGAGAGAGAGAGAAAGAATAAGGACAAAAAACCATACGCAATTACAATTATCTAATTTGTAGAAGAACTTTGTTGAAAATTATCCAGGGGAACAGCAAGTAACAATTGAAAGTTTAAAGAAATTAACTGAAATGCAGACATAACAAGGTTGTGCAAACAGGAAATTTAAAATTAGATTTTCAAAGTTAGTAACGTTGAAGCGCTGTATCTGAGTTCTGTTTGTTTAATGATATTCATCAGAGAAGTGTCCTCGTAATCTTGAAAGAACTCTGAAATTTAAACCTATCTCGCTTAAATGCATGCTGGTATAAACTTTTGACTGGTATGAGTGGTTGGATACCGCTTACGTCGTCCGACAGTGATCTAAATACTGGTTGGCCGCCGTTCCGCTCGTTTGCAGCCGAGATCATAAGCTATGTATTCGATTTAATTCAGCTGAGAGAGAGAGAGAGATGAATCAGTTCAGTCCACCCAAATTCTGGTTAACTACTTGGGCAAACTAACACACAGCAGATCATATATTATTATGATCAGAATAATTTCGTTTTTCAAAGAAAACTATGGTGAAATACCACTTCGCGTACTGTGTAATTTGCTAATTGTGGTGGTTCAGCGATGGAACGCTGGCTAACCACGCCTCAAGTGATCCGGGGTTATATCCCCGGCCACAGACGCACTCCTAAACCTCCCTAAGTCGGTAGTGAGATCGTTAAGGAGGGAAGGTTTGACGTGAGGCTAGCAACCTTACCTCGTAAAAATAAACACCACTGCTACTGAAATTTCAAAGCTTTAGCTTGAAGCCCTATGGTCCCCACTCGGAAGGTAAACGGACTAAATAATGACAGTAATAATAATAAATACTTAGTCCGGAAGTCACCGATTTAAACTACAAAGATTTTCAGGCTAAGCAAACTATTTATGATTGTCCTGGTTAAGTAGTGAAGTATGGCAGTCAGAGTTGTTACATAATCATACCTGAAATAAAGTTATTTAAATTTGTCAAAGTTGACAAACGATCAAACAAATATTGTAGCATAAACTCGAATAATACACAATCACAAGTAGGATTACTAATAGACTCTTATTGATGATATTTAGGTAGAAATAACCTAGCTGCTAATAATTTTATGACCTTTTCATTTCGAAAAATGCCAAAAGCGCATGAAATAATCAGACTCGGTGGATATGAAAACACAGCCAACAATAGTCAGAATACAATTAAAGGTATAATTATAATGATAATAATAATATCTGACTTTTGACCAGACAGATGTAAATGCCAGAGATAAATAGTTTGACATTTTTATTCTCCCCGGTATTCTAAATACTTTATTATTCTACATTGAATTTGCTCCACTTTTTTTCTCGCATATTCTTTTCTTTTATTTTAGTAGCTATCTACAACAAGTGATTAGCCTTTTCCTGCATACTAATTACGAAATGTGTGGAATAACAACAGTCTTAGACTGTTTCATTCTAATACTAAATCAATTCACTATTCCAATTCGACGAAAGTTCATGATTTCGTGGAAGCATCTATGCCCAACGACAAAGTCAATAGAGATATGGCTCATTGATTTAAACACTTAACTAATCAACCAATGGGCTTCGAGTTCGAATCCCGCCTCATTTATTTTAATCTGAGCAACGGAGCAGGTAATATCATAAAACTTCCTGTAATAAGTGTGGTTCATAGTCTAGTACATGGGTCATCTGTTCCAGACGAGTGAGTTTTAACCAATAATAACGAAGAGTTAGAATGAAGATGCTCTCAGCTCAGATGAATGATTCAGGTGGGTTCCAGTAAGAAGTTGTGACCAGTAGGGTGCAGCGGGTCGGGTGTGAGGACAAATACTCGCCGAAGACATTCGCTAGGGGTCGCGCTGCCATGAATTGGCAGAAGTTACAATTCATGGACTATTAGACCGGGTCCCAGTGGCTTAATGGTATACGAGCTCGCCTTGTAACCAGAAGGTCCTGGGTTCGAGCCCCGGTGGGTGCCTACTTCTGAAGAGTCCCACACTAGGACGAAACAGTCGTCCTGTACTCCCAGGTTTTCCAATGGTTCTCTAACCAATGCCAGCTCATCATGAAATCCTGTAACCAAGCAACCAAATCCCTACAAACCAACACTTGAATAATGATTTTAGTGTTGTTTTTCCAGTGCTAAATGATTTATTCTTGAAACTTTTCCTCAAGTAAATCAGTAGCATTCCTGGATAACCGATGAAGGAGTCGTATAACAACAAACATGGTTAAAGAGAATGTCACCGAAACAATCAACCGGAAGATCAATTGTATGTTAGATTATCAAGACATGTGAGTAAGTTAATTGTAAAAGAATCCCTAAAGGGTATTTCTTGCTAAAAACTCACACTAAAAATACTGACTAGAATGTCAGTGAAAGCTTCACAATTAAGCCATACAGTTCAGGGGACACTATGTTGCTGATGTGCCTCAAGTGTTAATTAGTTACCATTACCTGACCATTTTGTTGAAGAGTCAGTTTATCATCTTTTTCTCTCAACAATCGTTAAATTGTTATTACGTAACCTGTTAGTTGTGCACCATCTCTCTCTTATCGGGAGTTATTAACTCAAAAGCAAACAAGAATATTGAACAAGGGATAGTGAATAATTTGCAATTGATAGTGTTCTCTGAGCTCCTTGGTTTAATTGCGGAGCTTTCATCGTCTTTCTGGACGACATCTTCAGCGCAGTATTTAGGATAAAGTGAAATGATTTAAATTTCTTCATGAGTCTCCCGGTGACCATCTTTAGATATTTATTGACCGTTTTCTATTGATTGGGATTTTAAACTTCCTGATCACCTGATTTACTGTGCCAGGGAATTCCTAGAAGCCTGGTACTCAAATGAAAATGCCATTAATAAAAACGTTAATATAGATGAAATATACCAACTAATAATTGCAAATCATCCACCTGAGTTACAAATCTTTTCTATTATTTCAATAGTGAATAATGATAGTAATAATAATAATAATAATAAGCAGTCAAATATAACACTTCTCTATCGGTGGTTCAGTTGTAGAACGCTTGTAAGTCTCGCAGAAGATCAGGGTCCAATTACTCAACGATGCACTCGTTAACCTCGCCTAACTTGCCGGCTGGTAGTGAGCTGAGGACAGATAGAAGACTAGACAAGAGCTTAGTAACCTCAACTAATAAGACTAGTACCATCACTACTACAACTCCGAAAGCTTTAAGCTCTCTGTTCCACTCAAGACATGAAAATGTCCGACACTTGACGAAGTATGAAGAAATAAAAATATGAATCACCCTTCTGCATAACACAATCGTATTTCACAATTTGTTTGAAAATACAGAAAGACTTAAGGTCACTTAAGGTCAGGATTGTTTTACAGTTCTACTGTGAAAAATGCTGTCAGTTAACAAGATAACTAGGAAATATAAACACAAATGAGGTTAAGTGTAATGCCATCTTAGACTTCCAAAATTGACAAGTAATGGGAAAACAGTCTCACATAGGTTTTAGTGTATTCATTTCTACTATTCAGAAGAGATATAGCTCACAAACCAACACACAATCACTTCATTCAATAGTATGCAGACGGCAAGACCCAAAAGCAAAAGGAAACAAGATCAATACCATTTACAAAGTAAACTGCATGAACCTGTGATTAAGCACTGTATTGGTCAGGATGAGCATGCCTTTCGACTCAGAATTCAAGAACATAGACAAGCTGTTTAGAAACATGTATATTCTTTCGCGTCGATGCATGGAAAGAACTATGGACACCAAGTATTCTGGAAAAATGTAAACATTGTAAACAGAGAGACCACCATGAATGTCAGAGAATTCCTAAAAACCTGGTACTGAGACCAATCTCCGATTAACAGACACATTGTGGTGAGAGCTGGCTACTCAACAACCCATCACAGCAGACTTTGCGTAGGCGGATACAATATACAGATAGATAATCTGAACTTTAAGAAACGGCCACAAATAGATGAAAGATTAACGTTCAGCGAGAAACCACCAATCAGAAGACTCTGTTTTCCTGCTAACAATATTCTATAATAATGTAGATGAAAGTCTATAAATATGTGTTGATTTCCTTAATAAAGGATCTGTTGCCTAGCCCTTGTCTTCTGTTGTTACAACATTATTACAACTCAGATCCATCAATAAGAACGATTAATACTGAGAGAAATTAACCACCAATCACAACAAAGCTTGTCAGGAGATACAATTCTATGATTCATGAAGAATCCCGACAAATTCACTCCATATTCAAGTTTGCACTGAAGGTGTTGGTTAAGAAGGCAATGAAAGCTTCGCAATCAAGATTATTCAGCTTTGAGAACGCAACCACACCAAAATCACCGTCCACCTGAGCTGGATATCTATTATTTCAACCTTTTTCTCCCCACTGAGTTGTGAAGCCTAATGATCAAGCAAGATGGTGCGTCAGTAGCACAGTGGTAGTAATGCTCACCAGTCATGCAGGTGGTCCGGGGTTCAATCCCCGGCCACAGACGCACTCCTTTACCTCGCTAAGCCAGTAATAGGAATGGGAAAGAGGGAAGGTTGGAGATGAGGCTAGCACCCCCCATTGCGTAAAAATAAAACATCACTGCTACAGAAACTTGAAGCCTGTAGTTTGAAGCCCTATGTTCCACTGGGAACGTAAAGTAATAAAAAATGACAGTACTGAGATACATTGAAGCATATTACTATATTATATCAGGAAGACAGGCAATCAGTATTGCCCCTAACGAAAGAAAACTTCAGTTAAATGAAACTAGTATCATTTTTCAACCATTTCCTGCGTATATCATTGATCATAATAAGGATATTTAGCTTCCCACAGTTAAATAAACTCTTAAGGCGAGAGTATGTCGAGTGTTCCCATTCCTCGGTGAAGATATCACGAAGCTTACGTTTACTGTCGTTACTACCTATCGAAGATTGATATTCGATCAATTCCAGACTATTAA